AACCAACGGCAACTCCCACCTGCAGTTCGAACAAATGCGTCTACTTATGGGCCTTTTACTGGTGGTGCGAGAGAACATCAAGTTCATTTTACTCCTCAAGTAAATCATGGACAATTTCCTCCTCCCAGAGTTCAAACTAATACATCTACTCATGGTCCTTTCTCCGGCGGAGTGAGAGACCATCAAGTTCAGCTTGCTCCTCGACCTCAAATAAACCAAGTACGGAATTTTATGACAATTCAGTTTCATGAATTCCTTGGTAATGGGAAAGCGTACTTGTCTATACTTTTGTTGGTATATTTGATATTAATTTTATTATCGTGAGCTGCCGATTATATACTTGAGATAGCCAATTATCTGGTCTCTTCTGTAGCCTCTTTCTTTAGCGCCTTCTGTTTTATGTACCAGCTTATATCCCTAACTTGCCTTGTCTGTAAGCCTCTTAACTGACTGTGAGATATTTTCTTGCGTAGTTTGCAGCTTACTCAGGCACTGGTGGACAACAGTATGATCTGCAAAGAATGGTTTTGGAAGTTCTGCAAGCACCTGATATCCTGTAAGTTTAGTTTCTCTGCCAGAAGTGGTAAAAGGTTGCATATCATTATGGAACTCTTAGCTTCTGTTGTAATGGTTTGCTTAGTTAGGTGTACGTATGTTCACATTTTCCAAATTCTAATCCTGACCAAAGGTTATAAGCTGGTTCCAGCCTTTCCTTTGTCACATTGTCAGTTTATTTTGTATATTTGTAGGTCTGGTGTCTAGAATTGACCTTTTCATGGTAACGGGGAATGATCAGAAAGAGTAAAAAGGCTTGTTATATTTTTTCCATTGCCTTTTAAGTCCAAGTTGTGCTGCTTCTGCTTGAGTAAAGAAAACTTGATTGGTCTGTTAAAGCGGTGCCAAGTTGTGCTACAGTAGACTAACGGTATTGATAACACAAATATATCATGGAATGGTTCGAAACTCCTAATCATGCATAGAAAAACAAGAGTGCTTACTACTCCTAGTTTTCTGTACAAGCAAATCAATTTTTTTAACGTTCATTATTACTATGTACTCCCTCCGTCCCAAAATAAGTGTCTCAACTTTGTACTAGCTCTAGTACAAATTTATACTAAGCTCAAGACACTTATTTTGGGACGGAGGGAGTATTGCGCTCCTTAAAGAAAATTGTAGCCAGGTTATCGAGACGCACAATGGGTCTACCGATTGCATGATCCCTTTGTTTGAAGTGTTTCAATAAATAATTCAAGTGACAGGTTGAGCTGTGGCTGGATACTTCAGTGGTTTTGTTGTTTGAGGCATTCTGACACTTAATGGATCCCCGTGTAACTTTTCATGGCAATGAGTTCCACTTACACATTGCAGCATTGGGCATCCTTACCGCAATGTAGTATGCATCTGATGTCTTGCCTAAAAATCAGGAGCTCTTTTCTAATAATAGACCTGAAGCTGCTTCAACAACCAGGCTGATCCAGATCAGTATTGAATTGAAGAAAGTTTATTTAGGAGATATGTACTGACTGTTGCTTCCCGCAGACCCCTTGAAAATGGCGTACATGTTGATGAAGTGGCTAGAAGAACTGGAGCGCCAAAAACAAACATCATGTACTACCTCTAACTTTTTGTTTTTTCCAATTGCTGCTTGCATGATCTGAGTTTGACCTGTTTACAATTTTGCTGTACAGGGAGGTTATCAACTTACTTGCTGATACAGGGTTCGTCTGTTGGACCATTGATGACTATCATGTCAAGTCTGTGTGTAATGGTTGACCAACACAGTAATCTTCAGAACTAATCTAGTGAATGTGAGATCAGTTTGGCTATAGTTACTACTAATGATCTACGTGGAACACGATGTAAGTGCACTGTTGCAAACGTTCAGTGGTTTGACTCAGTCTTCCATTTGACAGTCGAGTAGGTGATACCAGTACCACCCCTTATATTGCTAAATACTCACGTTAGTACGTTGCTGTTTTACTGGGATATACTATGCAGTATGTTCATGCTTGTGTGCTTGCGTTATGTTATGTTACAACACTTTTCTAGTTTTTCCTGCTTATGTGACTGATCTTATCCTTCTGTTTACCTCTTCTTTAGCCTCTGCTGTTTCCAACTGATTTTATCCTTCTGTTTACCTCTTCTTTAGCCTCTGCTGTTTCCATGAGCATAGATTATATATGAGTACACTTCTGTTCGATCCCATAAACTTTTGCCTGGTAGTTTGCAGTTGAACTTGCTCCTCAAATGTACTATTCTGTCTTGTCCGATTCATTGCACCATGGAGATAAGAAACAACAGGGACTAAAAATAGGGGTTCGGTCTGACAATTAACACACCAATTTGTCAGGTCAACCACTATTGGTTTTACTGGTTAGGGTCCTGAGTTCGATGCATTGTCTTCTAGTTTAGCTTATCGTTTCTTTTAGGTTGTCTTCCCAAAAGAAGTCTTATCTGCTTTGACCAATAATTGTGTACAAGAGCTCCTTCAGTTTGCCTACCCGATGTGCATTTCTCAGATGGTGTCTGCTGATCGTAGGCGTACACGTGCTATCCAAAAGCTAGTGTGTCAATAATTCTTAATCCTCCTATCCAACTAACACCAGTTTGCTAGTGCATGGATTAGTGTCCGAACCCTCTACGTGTTATCTTAACCCATCTGTAGTATACTTTTTCTGGAGGTCACCTATAATATTTCTTCATAGATTGAATATAGAGTATAGATGGAACAAGTCAATTACCTGGGTTAGGTATTCTCTGCTTCATGCTCTGCTATGTTTTGATGTTTGTTGGGTCCATAAGGTCTTGTTCTCCTGTCATTTCTTTCCTGTTTTATTATCAAAGGCAAATCGTTTCCTCCATTTTCTCGTCAGATGTTGATGTGCAGCTGTACATGCCTTCTTGCTCGACATGCTAAACCCCATTAAGTAGGCGAAAAATAGAACATGGCAGGTTTTAATCTTAAATTCAGTGAGTTGTATTTTATGCATTACTCTCGTTTGTCACATATTTGCTGAATTAATAAATATAGGACCAGCAACTAACTGGGCATGCTTATCTGGATTTTTGCTGATGATAGACAAAGACAATACTGGTCTATATTTTAATGGGATCCCTATTTTAATTCACGCCGGGAACATCTATAAATTCGCCTTAATGGCCTGCATTATCAACGTGTGGTCCTTGCAGTCAGTGTCTACCTTTCTGGAATCTGGCATTGTCAAACTACTTGCACTTCAGGAGAATGGAACGATACATCAAAAATAAAGAGTTGCGCATTTGATCATCTGTTAGCTCATTTCATTACGAGATGTCGGCACGCAAAATTAGGTAAATGAAAAGTATTTTCCTTGGCACGAAACGCTAAATTGCCCAGCAATTTCATCTACATTTACGCAAAGCATATGTCGCATTCTTTCGTTCTCGTCAGGCATTTTTGCTGGTGGCCTGTCCGCAGCCATCAACCATCGTCAGTTCTTGTCACGCATTTAGTTGGTGCGGCCGTGAACATCGATCATACGCTTTGCATGATGTGATGATTCCCGCAAACTAATCTTTCTTCTTCGTAAGATCGTGTCAAGAAAGAGATGGGCGGATTGATCGTGTCAATGCAGTGTTTGCCAGTGAACGTTTTTCGTGTTTCTGGTGATTAATTAGATTAGAAGAAAAACGGTTGCTGTTTTCTCGCGCCGTGCGTCTCCAGATCGCTACCTGCGCGCACGGGCCAGCCTTACGTTAGCCCACTGCCCAGTGCCCACGGTAGGTTTGACTCTGCTCTACTGAACACGCCCCGCTGAATCCTTCCCGGAGAGAAGCGAGCAGGTGTGTAGTCAGATTAGGTCGGACTCCGCACGCCTGGATCAGGATTGGCCATGTAGCTGCTCGTCCTTGCTATGATTGGCCTTGGGTCACCTAATCAAAGGCCAATGAGAGGTGGGGTTTTGGCGACATTTTTTTGTGTGTGTTCCCCTTGAGATTCTTTTCGTGAGCAAATCCCTCCCTCGGTCAGTGGCAACAGGTGTAGAAAGAAACCATAGTATTCTGTCAGACGAGAGTTCAGAGCTCAGTCCAGAATGGTTCTGGCGGAGCACCAAAGCCAAGCACCGCACCGACCGAAAGGTGCCGTCCGGTTTGGGTGGACGCCACTACTATTCCTGAATAAACCCTACTATTATACCACCTGGCCAGTATTTAGGAGTGAGGAGCACGCACGCACGCACCAATGATCCGGTGACAGTGCGTGCAGCTACAGGCCAACGCGACTGTATCCCACTTTAGTACTCCCCTTTTCAGCACAGGTTGCTTTCAGTTTTTAATAAAAGAAAGAGAAGGAAGAGGTTGCTTGTCAACCAACCTCGCGCCGATACATGTTACTGATAAGCAAGTTGTCGCAGAAGACGAACACCTTGCATGGGAAGCTGCCCGAGGAGCACTTGCCCACACTCACGGCCACATGATCGACCGGTCCCTGTTCCCCTCGCCTTTTATGAGGAGCATGCCGCTCCATTCCGGGGTCCGTCCAAGAGGTGTGCAAGGAGCCAGGGCAGGGGCACAGCTCAACCTGTCCCGAACCGCCATGCCACGGCGCTGCACCGCGTGTCGTGGCCACGAATGCGCTACCAGAGTAGAGTATACTGAAAGCGGCACGCACACCTGGCAACAACGAACCAACTGCATGCGTCCATACAACTGGAATCCAAGTACCCAACCCAATCCAACCGGAGCAGCCAGGTACCACTCTTGGTAGGGCAGGCAGGTCGGTCGGTCGGTCTCTTTCCCTGAACCGTCCCCGACAAAACCCTCGGTCTGCTTTGCATTACGCATTGCACGCGAGCACCACCATCTTTTCCGTCCGTGTCGTGGTCAGCATACGGGGGTGGTTTTTACTTGCCTCTCACAGATAACCTTTGTATTCACAACCTCGACAACGAACGGGGCAGGCGGGAAGGAGCAAAATTCTCAGCAAGCATCACGGTCGCCTCATGCAATCTTAGCCCGGGCTAAGCGCTCGAGGCCGAGGACGTTGACAAAGGGGACGGCGTGCCGGATTCCTCCTCGTAGTCGTCGAGGTCGTCGAAGCCCCACATTTCCTCCCCCTCGTCGTCCCCGGCCGCCGGCTCCGGCATCGCCCACCGCTCCTCCGTGGTCTCCGCGCCCTCCAGCAGGTCCAGGACCTGTTCGTTGCAATGCATGCCACCACGATCAGTTTGTTCGTCGCATACATTTTCAACTTGTCAACGTTGCTTTTACCCGCAAATTAAGCTTACCTCTGTCATGGACGGCCTCCACGTCGCCGACGCGCGGACGCAGAGCGACGCCACGAACGCCAGCCGCCGGGCCTGCTCGGCGTCGTAGCCGCCATTGCCGCCGGCGAGGATCCTCGGGTCCAGCAGCGCCTCCGTCTTGCCCTCGCTCAGCAGGGGCCTCGCCTGCACTCGCATTGTTTGGACAAGATTAATTAATTAATTAACGAACGTGCGCTGCCGTGGAACGGAGGCTGGTACAACGGCCTAGGGCCAAAAATGTTTGGTCGGTCGGTTGGGTGCCCACCCAGCCGAGGAGGCTCCTGTGGGTGCCGTCCACCGGCTTGCGGCCGGCCATGAGCTCCAGCAGGAAGACGCCGAAGGCGAACACGTCCGTCTTCTCGTCCACGATGCCGCGCGTGTAGTACTCGGGCGCCAGGCACCCGAAGGTGCCCTCGATCGGCGCGATCGCCCGGTGCGTCCACTCCGTCGGCAGCCACTTGGCCAGCCCGAAGTCGGAGATCTGTTGTTACATGCGTCAGGGCTGCCGGAGCAGAGCGGAGGATCGATCGATCGACGATGGAGATGCCGCGGCTGAGTGACTGACCTGGGGCTGGAAGTCGTCGGTGAGCAGCACGTTGGAGGCCTTGATGTCCCGGTGGATGATCCGCCGCCGGCAGCCCTTGTGCAGGTACTCCAGCCCCCTCGCCGTGCCCACCGCCACGCCGTACCGCGCCTCCCACCCCATCGCCGGCGCCCCCTCCTCGCCGCCTGAGCATGCATTCATTCATCAATCAATCGACCCACGGTTCATTCAAGAAACATTGTTGGCATTAATGGCCGTGGTGCGTGCGGCGTCCGTTACGGGCGTGACGTACCGTGGAGGTTGGCGGAGACGGAGCCGCGGGCGGAGAAGGCGAAGACGAGGTAGAGGTCGCGGTCGACGCAGCATCCCAGGAGCGGGCACACGTTGGGGTGCCGGGCGTGGCCGACGGTGCCGAGCTCCGCCAGGAAGTCCCGCTCCCGGCGCTCGCAGGCGGACGCGCCCAGGAGCCGCTTCACCGCCACGGCCCGCCCGTCCGCCAGCTCGCCGCGGTACACCTCCGACGACCCGCCCCGGCCCACCAGGTTGGCCGCGCGGAAGCCGCCCGTGGCGCGCCGGACCTCCTCGTACGAGAAGCACTCCCACTCGGGCCTCCGCTCCGGCGGCGGCGGCGACGCTGCCTCCGTCTGCGCGCTGGCGTGCTCTACGTCGGGGGGCGCGTGGACGCGCTTGGCGCGGTGCGGCGAGAGGGAGAGCAGCAGCCTCTTGAAGCTGCCGCTGCCACGCAGGTACAGCGGCTTCATCGGTCGGCGGGCCTCTCCGGGGCAATGCGCCAACGCCGTCGTGCGGCTTCTTGGCTGAGCGGCGCGCGGGCGATCGACGAGGGCGAGCTCTGGTCTCGGGTGAAGAGGGATGGGAAGGAAGTGGAGGGAGGCGAAGTGGTGTAGGAAGTGGCTAGGGATCGGGCATTGATGCGTCAGAGTGCTACGTAACGCCGCGCGCGTCGTGGGCACAAGATCGCGACCGGGCGGGGCCGTGGGGCGTTTGGGTCCCGCTCCGGCCCGCGCCCGTACCGTACGTGGACCGGTGGACGCGACCCTCCATGCACCGCGCCGTTGCAGGCAGCCACACGGCCACACCACCAGCAGCAGCGGTGACGCCTGAGCGTGGCTGTGGGACGAGTCTACCCAGGCCTAGGCGGGCGGGTGAAACGGAACGGGAGGGCAAGGCAGGCAGTTGCTTAGGGAGAAGGGAAGGAAGCGTTGCGTCCGCAGCAGGGGAAGGGAAGGGACTCTGCTTTCTGCTTCCTCTCTCTGTGACTCTGCCGCCGCGGTAGCTGCCGTTTCGCCACCGGCTCCAGTGCGCAAACGCACGCACGGTACGAGCCGCCAGCTCGTCTTACCGCCGCGACGTCCGCGTTGAGGCCGGCGACAAATGGGCATCAGCCTCGGCCAAAAGATGGAGTGGAAAACGACGCGGTTGATGTTGAGCGCTTGTGCTAGCTGCGTCCCTTTGTCAAAGTGCGTCCTTGGCGATCGCCCGTACGTGCTGCTGCGCCGTCGCAACCAAGAAAAGGTTGGCGCGCGTCTGCATGTCTTTTTTTCGAGTTTTAACTTCTAAGGCAGTTTTTTTAGGCAATTTTTTGGTGTGTGGCTGGACTTCGTTGCCCTGAGCCGCATGCGTGCCTGGGCCGGCCCATCTTGCTCGAGGCAGGACTTTTTTTTTTGAAGGTGCTCGAGGCAGGACTGACGGTGCCTGGGCCCATGGTTTAAATGGGCCAGCGTCAACCGTTCGCTTGAAAGACTTGAATTTTTTTTGTGTGTGTGTGGTATATTTTTTGAATCATGTAGGAGAAAAGTGCACATGCCGTATTACTAAGCGGAAAAAACTATAGTGCAAATATTGAGGAACTGGCAGGTTTTGCTGCCCATATATTAAGGCGGAGAAAATGAAACAAGATGCAAACAGTTACAAGACCAAGGTAAGTGGTGGACATGTACCCCTTGCCTGAAAAAGGAAAAAAAAATATACAATGTAATCCGGTTCAGAACATTTACAATACAGTTTAGAACGACCTTGCGGAACCACAAAACTCTTTGGAAAAAACTTGAAAAGAGGGACCAACAACAACTATAAAGAGGCTAATACAACATATAGGCTACTGAAACGTGCGACAGCTCACTCAAGCGGTCAAGCCAAAAGTAAAAAAAAAAAACTACAGCGGCTGATAATAACTCCAATTATAGAAAGAGGGGTTACATGGGTCAAACAACCCAAGCTAGCCATCGCCCATAAGTTAGCATCAGCTTATATCTGATCAAAATATAAGGTACATTCGGTTGACCATATCGTCGAAAAGCCTTTCGTTCCTTTCTCTTCATATGCTCCACGAGACCATGGAATTCTTTTTTTTTTCTCATGTCCTCATGCATCACGCTTAATGCCATATGGCACCAAGTGATCAGGGTTGAGTCAGTGAGAGGGACGACCTCTTGCAATCCAACCTGCTGTAGTGCTTAACTCCAAAGTCAAAATTTCCTTCATATTTATGCGTGGGTAGCCAGGCCAAGGCTCAGGGCTTCACGGCCACTGGCGTGTGGGTCCTCGTGCTGGTGCATGGATTTGCCGGCAATGAGTTTCACTCAGCTGACTAGGTACGTGCATACTCTTTTTGCCTGGCAAGTGGGCCTGCTGGATGGCAGCGGACTGACCGCAGCGGGGGTTGATGAATGGTGGGTGTGCGTTTGATTCTTAGGATCAGTTTGTGTGGCTGGGCATATTTTTGAAGAGAATTCGGCTATGTTTCAACAGGAACTGCACCGCCTCGTCCTTTTGGTGGTTGTGCTCTTCTAATTTTTCTCGTATGGATCGGGTACAACACAGTAGCTAGCCCGCCAGCAAGTAGCTATGGGCTGGGCAAGCCAATTTTTTTATACTATTTCATGTAAAATTACTCACAATTTTTAAAAATTCAAATTTATATAATTTTTAAATATAAAAAATATTCAATTTTTAAAATATGTTGAAAATATATAATATATACCATGATTTTAAAAATTTATGTCATAAATTAATTTTGAAAACAACGTGTGGGTGCGTGCCACAGGCGGAACAGGGTTTGCCCTAAGTTGGTTGTTCGGTGGTCGTTGGTTATTCCTAGTTTGTTTGATTGTTGCAGTCCTTTTTATTCTTTTTTTTAACACGGTACAATCAAAGTCGCTACATACACAAGCATACACTTACTCCTATGAACGCACACACACACACATCCTACTCTTATGAGCACCTCCGAGAGAGTGAGCCGCATCGTAGTCGAAATAATGCGAGCACCAATGTCAAGTCTATGACTTGAACTCTTGGGCTGAGGATATCACTGTTCTCCTAACCATCCAACCACAGATTGGTTCGCGCAGTTCCCTCTATTCAGAGGAGAGGTGTTATATGCACTTGGTTGAAAAAAAGTTAGCCCAACTCAACCATCATCACCGATGCAAGGAACTCACCATCTAAAATCGTATACATCGCATACACATTGCTTGAATGTAGCCATGCACAACGGGGCACACACTTCATCTGGTGCCATATTTATGTATGAGAGACCGTTTTATCTTTTATTTTTGCGAGGGGAGAGACTATTTTATTTGTACACGCATGCTCCTGACGATAGCCAGTTCACCATTCCCTCAAATTTTGGTTTGTGAAAATGTCAGGTGCTAACCTAGACTGCAATTCTTAGCATTAAACTTACAGACCACAGTACAGTGTGACATCCACATTGTGCAAACCATCTTTATTCAACTCATATAATGTCTGATCGAACTAAACATGAATAGAAATGAACTAAAAAAGGTCAGGTGCAAAAGGAACATAGCAGTTGGATGTTCCAAGGATTCAGCTCAACGACGCAGCTGGATGTTCCAAGGTGCTCTGTTGTGCAACAATTCGTCGATGATGAACGGACCCTCCCACCACGACTTGAGTTTGTGGTATGTCTTGTCTTGAATGAGATGTAAGACAAGGTCGCCAATGTTGAACCTCGATGGTTTCTGAAACTAATTGCCACAACCCGGTTACTAACGCCTCCTATTCCCATTGGTCGACCCATAAGACTCTTTGGCCTTTCTCATGTATCATCTATTTTTACATGTGTGACGCGTACTTGATGGACTAACCTAGTTTTGCAAAACAAGTTAAAAGAAAGTGAAACAATTGCACGATGTTATCTATTCCCGTCAAAACAAAGGGGCCTATATAATGGGGGGAGGGTGATTAATATTCACATAGGTGATGGTTGGTGAAGCACTTATTTTTCTTATTTATATGTGATGAGTTCCCCTTAAGTGACAATAGGTTTGTCATTAAATAATGTTGGGTGAAAACATTACAAAATCATGTGATGATGTGGTAAATGGCTAACATGCTACATACTACACCCTACAATGTAACTACATGTACGACTGAAGATTGATTGGACCCAGCTACGTGCAAAACAAGAAGTAAATACATTACCAGCAATTGGGCCAATCCCTAGCAACCGATCGAACCAGTATACAACCATTTGATGGAATGTTTGGATCACTTAGATAAATAGTGACAATCTGAGCCCTCTCTTATCTGCCTTCTTTTCGTCAGGGCTCTCACCCGACCAGATTTGTTTCTAAAAACATTTGCTCTTGTAACCTTTTTTAACAAAGAAGGAGACCCGAATCAGCTTTTCTTGTTCAAGGCTCCTCACCAGAAATGTCATAATAGATATAAGAGAGGTATGGCGTTTTGGTCAATTCCTCTTTGGCATGGCTAGTTCAATAGCCAAAGTTGCTCTACTAAAAGGAAGCGGGATTCAAGGATGTAATTATAGTTTTATTTTTCCCTATCCTTCAAATTTTGCCATCTCTCATTTGTACAAACAAGACGACCTATATTCTCGATGCTAGTTATGTTGATCACCGCACAATACTCCATGAACAGGTGACAAATGTTTTCCCGGGTGTGCCATATAAAACACATCGCTCGTTATGGGAAGACCATGTTTAGCAGGTGACCAGCTGTCCAAATCCTCTCATGAGTGACCAACCATAGATTTTTTTGCATCCAAGTGGAGCCCAAGACAACTAGATCACCTTTGTTGCGGGGTTAATGATTGAAGTGTTAAAATATGATGTGTAAACTGACTTTGTCGATAAGACATCCTTGGATTCCTACTT